GGGGCGAGCGCGGAGGGCGAGCAGGCGGGCGGCCGCCGCGCTCGGCCCCTGCAGCCGCAGAGTTTGCAGCGGCGGCGGGGGCGGTTGCCGGCCGTAGTCCCGTCCCCGGTGCTGTCGTACGACACTTTGCAGCAGTTGGCGCGGCGCTTTCCGGCCGGCGGCCCGCGGGCCGGTGGGCGGGGCTGGCCGCGCCGTCAAGCTCGGGCCGGGCAGGGGCGGGGCTTGCTCGGAGAGGCTGGCTGGAGCTGACCCAGAGCAGGGGAGCAGTCGGAGCCCGGGTCCGGAGGCCGGCTGCGGTTGCTTCCCGGACGCGCTGGGCGCCCGGGCCCGAGGTCCGCGGGAGATTGCGCTCCTGGAGCAGCGAAAACGGCCGGAAAACGAGGTGCCGTGAATGATATCAAGGAAGGGGCTTAGGGCTTCGGGAGACTCGTCTGCTTGTCAGCAGGTGGGGGATGGGGGAGGCGTGGGTGTGACGGGGTCGTCAAGTACCCACGAGCTGCAAACGTCGATTCGTTGACGGTGAAGGTGAGGATATGGGGAAAGGAAGGAAAGGGCCATGGAGTAGAAAGAGGCTCAGAGGTGTCAGATGACTTCTAGGGACGGAGGATTGCCAGCAGTGTGTGCGGCCGCGAGCGTCCTGGGAGAGACGGGTGCTCAAGAAGCAATCAGCTGCAAAGGGGAACAAGGGTCAGATGCAATGAGGACTTTGGGACATTTTCCTGAAGCTGTAGGGAGTATGGACAGATTTTAACAACAGAAGTGACATGATAAAATTTGTGTTTTAGGAAGATGGCTCTGACAGCAAGAAAGCGGATGGGCAGCGTGGAGAGGTAAGAAACCGGGTGCTGTGACCCATTAGTAAACAGCCGCCACGGTCCATGCTGGAGGTGGCTTCCCAGATGGGAACAGAGATGGGCATGTGACAAAACGTTAGCGATAGACTACATTAACTATAAAATTCTTTCAACTTTATATACGTTTGAAGTTTTTCATGATAAGTTGTTTGAAAAAATAAACTTTGCTGGATTAGTAATTAATGCCACAGATACTCACCTGAAAGAGAAAAAACGAAAAACAATTTTTAAAAGTTACTTTGATTCAGCTGCGTGTAATCACTGCAAAAAAATGATAGCGAGCGTTGTAAGCAACCTGGAATAACTAAGTCTCCATCAGAAAGCACATCAGCCCGTCCAGATTTTAAAAGGCTTGAACCTCTAATCACCTTGCATTATTTTTGAACTGTGGATGGGTGACATTTCTAACTCAGAACATGTTTTTCAAGATAGTTCCGCTGGTGATCATCTGCCTCCCCCTCCCACTGGTGATCTTGAGAAGGATGGTTCAAAAAACCAAATACCCAAAGGTGAAACAATCTCATACGTACTTTGTAGCCATGTTATAATTAAGGGAAGACATCTATGTAGTTATGAATGACCTAAAAATGAATTTCTCTAGGACAAGACTCTAAATTTTTTCATCACTAACTGGAAATACTTGAGCCTGGACGCCTAATATGAGAAGATTTTGATACAGTACTGTGAGTAAAGGTTTAACAAACCCCCTTTCTTCTCTACAGACAGATTTCACTTTGGGTTGCCTTTTTAACTTGTCCTAGAAACCTGATGAAGTTACAACGTCAACTGTGTTACAAAACATCCTTGCTTGTGTCAGAAGTGCTCTCTGACTGGTACACTGCTTCTGGCTGGACAAAATGGAATCATCTTTAAACACCTGTCAGGAAGCCAGAACTTGAGGATCTTCCTTAACTGAGTTTGGGGATGTAAAAGGTAAATCCGGGTAACTATTATGAGATGTGCAAGTTCCCCCGGTCTAGGATTCTTTTTTTTTTTTAATTTTTTTTCAACGTTTTTTATTTATTTTTGGGACAGAGAGAGACAGAGCATGAACGGGGGAGGGGCAGAGAGAGAGGGAGACACAGAATCGGAAACAGGCTCCAGGCTCCGAGCCATCAGCCCAGAGCCTGACGCGGGGCTCGAACTCACAGACCGCGAGATCGTGACCTGGCTGAAGTCAGACGCTTAACCGACTGCGCCTGGGTGGCGCAGTCGGT